TAGAAATCTCACAGGCTTCCCTGATTACATGGCAGCAAAGAGCTGAGGCTCGAAAGGCCCAGCCTGGGGCCCATCACGCTGCGGAGCTCCAGCTGTGGCTGTTTCTAAAAGCGGTTCCGGGGTGAGAGGAAGAATCAAGGTTCCTCAGTCACTCAGTCCTCCTCCCAGGATCACAGGGCCACGCCCAAGCACTCTGCAGCTTGCTCCTCTGGCTTGCTGTGCTCACCCTAAGAGATGGGGTGGGGCTCCAGACAGCAGGTGTCTTTTGCTTCAAAGAAGATGGGATTTAGGTCTTTGGTCCAGTTTAACTTGGGACAGGTCAGGCCCCTGCGGAGGTGCTGGAGCAGGTCCAGGCCAGACCCCTCCTCAGCAAACAAGGGCATCTTCACCATATCATGCCAACCTTCTTCATCGATGCTGAGTGCAGAGGGACACACGAGCCAGAAATCCTGGTTCACTTCTTCTGGAAGCCATTGCGCTGACAGAAGATTTCCTTCACTTTGTCCACAATGGTCTCGACCTCAGCCATGGCCCCCAGACCTGGGGAGCAAAGTTCTGCTGTGGCAGATAGTCTGCCAGATGATCCAACAGTGCCTGCAGCCCCCAGAGTGCTCCTCCAAGCACTCTACCCAGAGGGCATGAGAGGGTCAGAACCATCTCTGCTTGAGCCAGACTCATCAAACCTCTTCTGATATACCCCCAGCACAGGCTCAAGGCATAATTCGGTAGCTACCACAACTGTGTACAGCTATGTGCAAGGGACTATGCCAAGCACTTGACATATTTATCCCATTTAATCCTAACAACTCTGAGAGGGAGGAGTTATGAGTCCCATTTTCCAGATGAGAAAGCTGAGCTCAGAACCCTTTTGCCCAAGGTCACTATGGACCAGGATTGCAATGCAGATCTGACCCCAAAGCCAAGCCCCCTCCTCAGCCCTGGGCTGTGAGGATGGACTATGAGCCTGGCAAGGCACTCACCTTGGTCTCCACACACCAGCTTCTTGGCCACACAGGGGATCTCGACATAGCCGAAGGCCTTGAGCTGGCCTACCTGCTGCGCAGTGATGGGGTGCTCCCACATGGTGGTGTTCATGGCCGGACAGAAGAGCAGGGGCTTGCTGCGGTCCCAGGCCCGAATGACACAGGTCTGTAAAGGAGGGCTGGGGCGGGTATCCTGTGTTCTCTGCCTGCCACCCCTTACCAGCCATTCCAAATCCTACCTATTACCCTGGGCCTTGCAGCCAGCAGCCCCGGCCATGGACTTGGAATGCGGGGAGCTGCCTGCCTGCAGGGAGCTGCCTCACATCCCTCTGGGGGTGGAGGCTGTGTCCCCTCACCCCTCTTTACCTCCCCACAGACACCACAGGAGGTGGTCAACCAACACTCAACTAGCCTCCTCTAAGCAGATCTTCCCTCCCAGGTTGATAGGTCTCCTGCTCCACAGTGGGCTCACACCTCTCAGGCAGAAGCAACCCTGGTGAGCAGAAGGCAGGCTTTGTGGTTCACCGGAAGCTAACTAAGAACCAGACTGCTTATCAGCTGGGGGCCCATCTACCCACACACCAGCTCTACTTCTAGGCCAAACAGAGCCTGACAATGACAACAACTCTTTTATATATATTATCTCATGAACCCTCACTGTGACCCTGTAAGGAAGGTACTGTCCCCGTGTCACAGATGGAGAAGCTGCAGCTCACTCAAGAGGCGAGCAGGTATCCAAGGTCACACACAGACAACAGTGTGAGGCTGTGCAGGCTGCGCCAGCTCCTTCCGCCACACAGGGCAGCCTCACAGCCTCCAGCTCTCTGGACCATTACTCTGAGTCACAAACCAGAAAAGGGACTGACCAACCCAGAGTTCTTGGTGCCATGGTTAAGGACTCAGGGCTCTGAAATCATGTAGCTTGGGTTCAAACCCTCGCTGTGCTATTTCTTACTCACTGTGAGAACTTGGACATGGTACAAAATGCCTGAAGCCTTGGCTTCCTCACTGCAGAAGACCCCCTTGTGAGGTGGTTGTGAGAATGGAGCGGGAAAATGCTTATGAAGCCTTAGCACAGGGCCTGGCAGAGAGTACAGGCTCAAGGAACGGTCGCTCTAGTTATTACTACAGGCACGAGCTCTCTGGACCGGGGGCTGCCTAGGCGGAAATAAACTCTGGGCCGACAGGGGTAAGCACCCTGGGCTCTGCCTGATCCAGGCACCCCCTCCTGGGCCGTGGGCCCCTCGGGGAGGCAAGGGCTGACACACCCTTTCTCTGAAGTGGGGCCCATCTGGGAAAAGAGAAAGGGAGTCCAGAGAACAATGCCACCAGCAAGCCAGGGCCAATACCTGCCACCCTTGGTGGCCCTGCCCTCTCTTGGGGACAGGAAGTGGGATAGCAAACAGCCTCGGGATCCGGCTGCTTGCATCATCCCAGACACCAGTGCTTATTTCCCACCAAGTCCTCTCAGTGCTACAACCAGGCTATGAGTGGATGGTTTCAGTCACACTTCCTCTTGGCCACGTGCCACCTGCTGCTTCTGCAGAAGTTATGAGCATACCTAGATGGCGTGTGGGGTTTCCAAGTGCCCTCAAAACAAAGCACATCAACCAGAGCAGAAACTCCAGCACCTTGTGTCCCACATAGACCTAGCTTTCCCCACCTCATCTCAGAGCTCAGAGCTTCCTGGCCTGACCACAGCCCCTTGGAACTGACCAGCAGCAGGAGGGATGAAAGGAGGGCATGAGTTCCCATGGTCAGCTCTGTTTGGCCAATGCTGGGTCCAGTGACTCAGGCTCTGCCCCTGGGAATCCACTTGGGCAGGGGAGAAGGCCTGGCTCCCTGTCAGGAGCCCAGCTTCCAGCCAGACTGGGATCTAGGGAAATCATCTCTTCTTTCTGGATCTGATTCCTATCTAGCCTATCAGGGCCAGGGCCTGAGTGGGCCTGAGCACACACAGAGATGGGCATCGCCCAGGCTGAGGGCCTGCAGGATCGTATGTTGCTCTATCGTAACCCCAGTTCTGAGCACTGGAAAGGGAGACGATCTGAGGGAGGGAGGAAGGAAGCAGGGTGGTGCCTTTCAGAGATACAGAAGCAAACATCTACTGAGAGAGGACACAGCCACAGACCACAGGTGACGGGAGTACAAACTTTATACGATTTGAGATTACTTGAAACACTTGTGTCTTCCACTAACACCTCTGAAGGCAAATGGCCTGGTGCTTGTCTTGGGAACATGTCCCTTAGTCAACTCAGAGGAGGGAACCCCAAAAGTTACAGGGAGTGGCAGCAGCTTTGAAGAACAAAGGGGAGCAGAACTTTTGGAAGAAAGGAAGGAGCCCTTGGAGAGCTGGCCCAGGCAGGGGTTCAACTCCCAGAGGTCCTAATCAGCCTGTGGGAAGCAGGGAGATTTGGCGAGATGGTGCTGGTCACATACAGCTCTGGTCCACGCAGATGACAGTGGCAAGGAGACTCATCTATTCCAGCCACCCTGTCACAGCCCCAATGGGAAGCCTCTATCAATAACTCTGCCCTCCAGGCTCCCCCTCCTCTGCACTTCCTACCACCCGCTCCTGGCCTTGCAATCTGTGTGTGGCTCTTCCTCTGGTCACCCTGTGCACTTACTCAAATGATGCTCAAATCACTGGCAGGTTCTTCGAGAGGTGCCTTAAGAGCCCGTTAATGATCATACGAGGACACTAATCTCATGTTGAAGGAGCCCTGGTAGCGTAATGGTTAAACGCTCAGCTGCTAACCAAAAGGTTGGTGGTTCAAGCCTACCCAGTGGCTCTGCAGGAAAAAAAGACCTGGCAGTCTGCTCCCGTAAAAATTACAGCCTAGGAAACCCTATGGGGCAGTTCTACTCTGTCCTATAGGGTCGCTATGAGTCTTAATCGACTTGACAGCATCCAACGACAACAAATCTCATGTCTGACCCCCCCACAAAATATCCTGACCCAGCTTTGTTATTCACCTTATTCACCATATTAAACTCCGAAGTAGCCCTGGCTGTTTGTAAAAGTAAAATTAAGAATGACCTCATATATACAGTACGGATTTGTTGAATGGCTACAGCGTGCCCAACACTGTGTGAGGCACTGACTCCATTGCCAAAGGAGCAAGAGGGCCCACTCACTGTGGACATTAAGACTGTACCACACACTAGAGCATATTCCTTTTCCATGGGTGCTTCCTGCCTGTGCAGGGGATCCAATCCCTTTCCTTCCGGACTGTGAGCTCCCTGTGTGGGTGTGTCCCTCAGCATGGGGCCCAGCACGTAGTAGATAAGAATTTACTATATGGGGGGCAGGGAAGGGAAAGAGAGAGGAGAGTAATCACGCCCAAAGCATCCTAGGATGATGAGATAAACTAAGGCGGCTCCGTTTTAAATGCACTAGCTCCCTGAGGTCCCTTAGGCCTAAGACAATCCCCACTTTGAACAACTGGACTTCTCCTTCTCTCCTCCACCACCATCAGCTCTCATCTCTCATTCTTTCTCTAAATTCTCCCTAAATCTAGGAGAACTGCATCTCAGCCTTACAGCTAAAACTACAGGAGAGACACGTGTGGAGAAGGTTACTTCCTCAAGGAAGTAACACCCTTACCAGATTGCCCATGAGTATATCCAGACCCTGGTGGAAAGGCAGAGCTGCAGAGAGGGGAGGCAACGGGGCTGGGCAGGGAGACCAATGAAGGAAGGCAAAGGAAGAGGAGCAAGGGGCTCGGGGTGCACACCTGGCTGAGCACTAAGGTGCAGGCGAGAGGTGGGCACTCCCCATACGTCACCAGCAGGTCAAGGCAACCCACCAGAACCAGGTCTGTCAGGCAACTTGCCAAAGAATAGGTAAGATGCAGTCTGGGAGAGGGGTCAATGGGGGGACTGGTGCTCTCCCTGAGCAAACCTGGGCCCCACAGTAATAGTTTTCCAAGGCGAGAACCCTGTCCAAGGAATTCAGCAGCTCAGTAAACTGGGAGTGAGGCCCAGGGAGGGATAAGGACACAAGGAGTTACTCACAAGCAAGTTGTCACAGATACCACTGGCCACCTTCCCCAGAGTGTTGGCATCCAGAGGTGCTACTAGCATGAGGTCTGCCCACCTCCGCAGGTCAATGTGAAGAACGGGGTCAGAGCGGCACTTCCACATCTGGCAGAGGGAAGAAAACAGGGTCACAGTGCGGAGGAAAGAAGGGGGGCAGGGGGAGGGGCAAAGCAGACTAGGTACAAGGAGTCAGGCACTCAAGGGAGAGACCACCTGACCCGCACCACTGCCCAAGTCCACTGCTGTTCCCTCTCAAAGTGGAGCAGGCAGGCACTGGCCATGGAGCCAACGGCCTAAGAGAAACCAGGCCTGAGGAAACAAACGGCCCTTGTCTCTCCACGCTATTCCCTTTATGGTTCGGTTTTCAAGAGAACTGACATCTGGCAGGGAGCTCCTGGCCTGTCTGCTTGAGGCGGATGCTTGGGTTGTCTAAGCCAATGGAAGCACCCGTTGTAGTGAGAAATGGAGGGGGTGGGGTGAGGAAGACAGCCCAGCCAGAAAAGTTCTAGGGCTGAGAATGTTTAAAAATGCCTGGCAGAGCACCCCTGTGAGGCCCACACTCGACGTCTGGTGAATTGGCTGGTGCCCGCCCCTCTGCAGGAGAGCAGACACAGAGCCTGGTGGCATGCGAAGTGAGGCGCTCCTGACAGCCCTGACACTGGGAGCCACGTGGACAAGGGTGGTGCGAACGGTGGTGGGAACAGAGCTCCTCTGTGGTTTCATCAGCCCAGATAAGTACAAGGACACTCAACTTTGGGCATGGGGCCAAAGCTGAGTTCTGCCTAAGGTGGGAGGGGACTGTGGGCCTCCCACAGGCCAGAAGCTAGACAGATGTTTTCCTCATCGCCTCTGGCCAGAGGGCACTGACCGCTGACTTGAGCCCAGCCAGTCTGCTCTGGCCGTCAGGCCCCTAGGCTGCAGGAAGGACAGTCCTGGCGGTAGAAATGCAATGAACTCAGCCCTGGGGCCCCAAGCACTGACCTCCCATTCATCAGCGTCACTGTAGAGGGTGACAGGAACATCCTGGGGGCTGTAGAAATGTTTGGCTCTCTCAGTTGTGACCACTGCTACTTCCAGCTGTCACCAAGAAAAGGCAGGGGAAGGAGAACGGAGAAACTGTCACCACAGCCACAGGCCAGAAGGCCACACGAGGGCCGGGCCAGGCCAGCACTTGCTTCATCGCTTGCTTCATCGCTGGCTGTGGAGAGGACTTCCCCCTCCTTGGCAGCAGCGAGCCCCACATTTGCACAGCTACTTCCGCTGTCACCCAAAGTCAGGCCCTACCAGGTGCTGTGGTTTCACTTCCCCATCTGCCAAGGGCTGCTGAGGAATGAGTCACCAACTGCCCAGGGTATATAAAGCTGCAGGCTCCTGCGCTCGGGCAGAGTGAGGCCCGAAGCAGAGGCAGGCAGCGACAGGAAGGGCCTCGAGGCAACAGGGCCGAAGAGGGCATGGCAGGCAGGAGAGGGCTTGGGGCTCAGGCCCACCCCAAGAGGGTCACAGGTCCTGAGCTCTGGGCCACACCACAGTCCTGCCCTCTGCAGGCCAAGGCACTGGGGAGCTGGGGCCTGTCATGTGGCATCTGCATCCATGCCCGGCAAGAAAGCAGACACAGTCCCTTCACTGAGTACTTCCAGGAACGCGGCATTGTGGTTTCAGGCTACAGACAGATGCCAGGAAAACAAAACCTATGTGCCCTGTGTTCATGGGGAAGAGAATGAAGTTTACCTTCACACTACCCATGGGAGGTTTTACTAAGTAAATGAATTACACAAACAAGGGGGATGTTTAACTTGCTGAACAGAACAGACTATGAAAAACAGCACTCTGTGGTGTGAAGGGCACTCGATGGCTTGCCATCATTTGTAAAACAAGATGTCAGACTTATAGCTGGCAAACTAAAGGGGCCCACAAAAGGGTAGCCAGGAGGGGAAGGGTATAGGAAATCACATCTTTGCAGGAACCACTGAGTTAGGGGAGGACATTGATCCAGGAGGGAAGGAAAGTCAGGGTGACAAGGACAGAATTGCCAAATAACCAGTGCAGAGGTTATGAGTGGCAGTGTCTGGGCCAGATCCAGCTTGCAGACATGCTTGGTTGGCCTGCATGGGGTTATAAATATTTTTGAGCCAACATAGACAAATCGAGAGATTTCACATTGAAAAGAAGAAAATTTCTGCCTTCTTTTGCAAAACTGAAAGCTCAGGGGATGCTGGACCTACTTGATAATGACTTGCTGGGGCCTGCCCATGCCAACTCAGCCCAATGCCCACCCACCCTATCGTCTCACCCAGGCCCCCCTCCTCATTTCTTTCCTGTCTATTGTGGGATAGTGTGGCAGAGGTGTTCTACACAGCACCTGAGAGCAAGGCTGGGACCAGGCAGGAAGGAGAAAGGCCAACGGAGGAAGAACGTTTTATCAATTATAGCCCTTTTGGGAGAAACGTCAGAAGGTCTGGGGTCCCCAGCTCTACTGGAGAGATTTCTACTTGTCCATTCATCCTCTCACTGCACCTTGGAATCTACCATCCACAGAACTTGCACAAAATCTAGGGATGTTGGACTCAAGAAACCTGGAACATCATGCCCTGACACTGAGTGTCTTCCAGGGGAAACTCAGCCCACACCAGCTCTTCTGGTGGCCACATCCCCCTACTGATGTATATGGGGTATGCAATCAGCAACAACTCAGAGAAGTCCTTTCCACCCATGCAGCTACTAAGCCACAAGCCCCCAGACTATATCAGAGCAGTTACTTTTCTGGTCCCAAATGCAGTCCCTCACATTTGCCTGGTAAATTCCACCCGAGTTGGCCCATTGTTTGCCAGTCTACAGAGAGCTCCTGAGACCTCAAACCTATTATTCCTCCTGGCCTGCTCTCAGCCAGCACCACCATCAATAGGCCCCTGGGACACTAATCTAAATCATGAACAGAACAAGGTCAAGGGCAGAGACCTTCCACAAAGCGAGGGGCAAGGGAAGAACAAATCTTTCCAAGTCGGTCGTTCACAGTTATAAACATGCTGACATCATCAGCTGGTCCCCAGGGATATCCTAAGATCCCATCAAAGCCTTTACCTAAATCCTCACATACTTTTGTTTAAAATCCAAAAAATAAACTAAACTTGACGTGTCTTGTTCCTAGTGAACCCACTCTAATCCCAGTGACGAACATTTTCTAGGAGCTCACAAGCCTCATCTGTAGTAATTTGTGGAGCCCACCTCCTTTCCCCATTTGATAAAGGGATGACACGTAGCCACCTCTATCCCCCAGCCCCTCTGCTGTTTGCCACACCTCCTGGAAGGTCACCAACCACAACTTGGTGACATCAGCACCCCAGGACATAATTTGCCCCAGTAAGGAGATGAATTAACCACCCTGGGTTCAAGTCCCTCCTACCACCGTTTGTCCTACTTTTTCAAGCTCAAAAGAGAAGATGGAAACAAAATGAGACTCAAGGAATTCCCTCACATTTCTCTTCACCCCCTGCTAATGTCATACCATTGGCCTCCAGCACCAGGCAGTTCCCTTTTTCTTTTTCCAAATATATGTAGCAACCCTCTTGGTCACCCTGAGTTTTACCACAAGCTTCAGCTCACTCTGAGGGTCTTTGGTCCATACTCTTGCCCTTTGGTTACATGTCCTCCTTTGCATATAACTGTCTCCCAATCTTCCTTCGGAGCCCTGGTGGCACAGTGATTAAAAAGCTCAGGCTGCTAACCAAAATGTCGGCAGTTCAAATCCACCAGCTGCTCCTTGGGAACCCGATGGGGCAGTTTTACTCTGTCCCATAGGGTCGCTGTGAGTCGGAATCAACTCGTCGGCGAAGAGTTTGGTTTGTTTTTGTTTGTTTTTTTAAATCTTCCTTCAACAGAGGGCTTCCCAGGCAGCGACGTCAGTCTCTGGTCACACACTGCCTTCTTTTCCTCTGGGGCCCATTTTCTTTCATTTCTAAGAGCTTCCCAGCCACCCTGAATTATTTTTCCATTTAAGAACATCCCAGGTCATCCTCTCTATTCTGAAATTTAGAGAGCTGCTTCCCAAAGATCCAGTTCCTCCACTCTCTCCAACTCCCAAGGCCCTGCCAGTTCTCAAAGTGGAACCTCAGAAATAGTTTCAATCTGGTAATGCTCCTGGTCAGGGACTCTTCGTCCCTCTCAGCTCTACCCTTTCTTTCCCCTCCACCTAAGATCCCAGAGCCTTCTTACTGCCTTCCACCCCACTGGGCCCTAGGAAGCTCCAACTGGGGGCCCCAGTGGGCCTCCCATTGTTGTCAATTATGTGCTTGAGATCTCCCCTCTCATCTCTTCCCGAACCTCTGGGTTGATCCTGCTCTCAGCTACCCTCCCCAGGTCACAGGGCACATTGCTAAGGAACCTCCGAGGGTCAATGTCTTCACCTAAAGAGTGATGTGAAGAGCGTGTGACAGGCAGTCCTTGCTGGTGCTCCTCCCCTGACCACACAGAAGCAACAGCCTCTCCTTGTGGGTAACCCTGACCCCAGTGCTGTCCGGCAGGCCCAGGCCAGTTTTTCTGGTTTTAGAGGATGTCACCTGCTCTGATTCATCAGCCCTCTGGGCTTTGTTCTTTCATTTTCATTCACTTGGCCAAAAAGGTCTTGGGAGCCCTGGGTTCCTACACTTAATAAAAAGAATACTTGTGTTACCTTCTGAGGTACTAAGCAATTCAGAACATTCACTCATTTGCCCTGAACTTTTCCCAGCAAATGCCAAGAAGCCCTGGCAGGGCAGGAAACTCCCTGAGGGCAGGAACCCTCCTAGGGTTTCTCTTATACCCTCCTGGGTCCTAGAAGGAGTATGCTTGGCATTAAAACAGCATTTCCCACACTACAGGATTCCTGAAAGGCAGCTCTGGGTGTGGTCCTTGCCTAGGCTCCTGTGAACAGTTTTTATATCAAGTATTTTTAACCTGAATCTCCTCATGTGATGGGACTAAGGCCTGGCCAGGCCCATCAGATGAGCTGCCTCTACTTTGTCCCACATTTAGAGAGACGCCTTCCTCAAACCTCTGGGCAAGTCTAATTTCCTTTCTCTGCTAAAGAGACATCAGCAACCCCTATCTGGAAACAGGCGTCCCTGGAGAGTCAGCAAGAGGAACTGGAAATAGAATTTGGGGTGATACCTTCACTGCTACTTTTAGGCCCTTGTCTGGCCCATGCTGCTTCGAGCAGACTATCAAAGAAATCTGTGGGGAAGCATTCTGCAGCCACAGGACAGACAAACCCCTAGTCCTGAGCTTCCATCTGCGCAGCCTCCCCATCTTCTCTCAGGAATCCTCTGTGCCCTTTCTCACCATGCTCTGGGGGAGCACTTGCTCTCTCATCTCCTCCAGACAGGCATCCGGGGTGGCGGGGGGGTACGTATTCTGTCGGCCCCTTCTGCCATTAGAGCACAATCATGCTGCCAATCCTCTGTGTACTTCCTCAGCTCGAGAAAAATCTCAAGAAAGGAGCCAGAGAGGCAGTCTGTGGAGACTCATCATGGGGATGCATTTCTGGGGTAGCAGTGAAGGACCCTGGGGGGCAGGAACCCTCAGCCTGGGCCTGGGGGCTGGCTGCTTCTGACCAGCAGCCTACAGTGCTGCTCCCTAGAGGAGTAGGCGAATGAGCTGCAGGGCAAGGGACGAAGGGGCCAGCCAAGCCTGGCAGAGGCGTAAATAGATGCCTCAGAGCCCTCCAGTCCCAGTCGGTCCAGAACAGACCAGTTTCTACAGCCAGACCACAGAGCAGACAGGTGGCCCCTGCCTGGGAAGAAATGAGAACCTCAAACCAGGTCCTTGTTTCTTCTGCTCTCTTCTTTCTTCAGTGAGCACTTAAGAAAAAGCATACAGTTACGAAGAAGAAAACAAACAGTAGGCTGTAATCTCCCTACCAAAAGTCTCACTGACTTTCAGAAAATAATAAATATACACACAAGGTTGCTGTTGTTGTTAGCTGCCCTTGAGTCACCCTCCACTTCATGGAGACCCCATGCACGGCGTGAGTGGACCATTGTAATCCATAGGGTTTTCACTGGCTGATTTTTCGAAGTAAATCACCAGGCCTTTCTTCCTACTCC